AGTTCTCTGCTGCGATCTGGTACTTTGTAAAGGATGGATTGCCGGTATAAAGGTTCATGGCTTCGATACGTACTCTGCGAGATGCTGTGCTGTACATCGTGGAAAAGGTAACTGTGCTGGACGCCACATCAAACTCCGAGTACTCGGTAGTCCATTGGTGGTTGTAGGCAAACAATGCCGTCCGCGCGCCGGTAGTTACATCAGTGATACAGGCTACGTCCGGCATTTCATTGTGAGGGGAGCCGGTGCTGATTGGATAGGTAGGTACAAAGGTGGGATTTTCAATCGATCCGATTGCACCAACTGTAATGATGCCTGTTGGCGTAATCTCTTCCCAGGTTGCCGCAAAGTCATACATGGAAGGAAGGCCGCCCGTCAGGTTTTTATGATCTGCAAAGGCATCGATATGCGGATATTTTGACTGGCCAAATGCACCGGAAAGCGGAATGGTACCGGCATAGGTCACGCTAAGCGCGCCGCCCACTCCATTCACATAGTACCAGGAATAGTACGTAATATAGTTCACCTGGTCCAGGTAGATAACGCCGATCACGTGTGTGCCTTTTTTTTGGCCATTTGGGCGTGCATTCCCTATAATAACATCCGGGAGAAAAGTGGCGCCGGAAGGTGTGGGTGGAAACGGCAACTGTACCGGTGATGGATTGCCGGTATAATCTACATACAAAGTACAGCTTTGGGTAGTGGCATCGTCCCATACAATAGCATTCAGCCGGACACCGCCTTGCAGCGGACATTCAAGCATATCGCAGTTCACCGTTTGTACATTCGAGGCAGTGGCAATTGGCTGATCCGGAAAAGATGCCGGTACGATGCTCTGGGCCTGGGCATGGGTATAGGCAAACAGCATGCTCGCAATCACGAAACTTGTTCTGGTCAGTTTTTTGAGTAAAGTGCTCATGTTGATTTTTAAATTGGTTTTGGGTGAGATAATTGTTTTCAGATAGGTGTTATAGGCAATGAAACAATTTGGATAAATGATTGGCATATAATGCCGGCGGCAGACAGCTTAATAGCCGTTCTTTTTCTTTAAGCATAGGCGTATAATGGCGGGTTAGGAAGCGGGACAATAAATATATAACGAACAGTTTAAATTATCAATAAAAAGCATGGATTTATTACTATAAGCAACCAATCAATTAAAGTTGGAAAACAAGGGCGGCATTCCGGGACGATGCTACAGCCGGAATAGTTGTTATCAGCGTTGCTGTGGTTCCATAAAAAAGTCCAGTCCACAAAATGATTAAAAAACGCTTTAAGTATCATGGCAACAATAGGTAGTTAATTGGCACCGGTCCTTATCCACATGGTATCCTGCAATTACGTTCTTGTAGGTGAAACGGAAATTTCCGGAGCAGGGCATCGAAAAATGCTGGCTGGTCTGACGGGAATATCTGGCTATAGAAAATCTGCGTGCGTTCTTAAACAATCCATAGCAGCACAAATCTATCAACTACTTTATGAGCCTGGTTTAATTATTCAATCAGTAAAAAAAATACATCATGAATTGATATAAATTTACTCTGTAAGACTCAATAAATACGATGATATCCGAAAGCCTTTTGAAAGGGAGCACCCGTCCCGATCTGATTAAGGATGAAACTATTGCCACTATATTCGCCACTACCGTAAAATCCTTTCCGGATAAAACAGCGCTTATCTTTGGGCAGCAATCGATTACTTACCGGCAGCTGGATTTATGGAGCGATAATATCGCTTCCTTTATCGCAAGGCAAGGTATTGGCAATGGCGATGCGATCGGGGTATGGCAAACAAGAGGTCTGGCGCTAC